TGTGGACTCTGGGAGAAGGCGAGGGTGGGATGTTTCAAGAGAACAGCATCGAAACACGTATATTATCTAGGGTGAAACAGTTCACCAGCCCAGGTTGGGTGCATGAGACAAGTGCTCGGGCCTTGTGCACTGGGAAGACCCAGAGGGATCGGGTGGAGAGGGAGGTGGGAGGGGAGACCGGGATGGGGAATACATGTAAAAAAAAAAAAAAAAAAAAGATACACTATGGTTGTGAAAAAAAATAAATAAATAAATAAAATGTAAAAAAAAAAAAAAAGAAATCTCTTGCATTCCTATACACTAACAATGAGAAAACAGAAAGAGAAATTAAGGAAACAATACCATTCACCATTGCAACAAAAAGAATAAAATACTTAGGAGTATATCTACCTAAAGAAACAAAAGACCTATACATAGAAAACTATAAAACACTGATGAAAGAAATCAAAGAGGACACAAACAGATGGAGAAATATACCAAGTTCATGGATTGGAAGAATCAATATTGTCAAAATGGCTATACTACCCAAAGCAATCTATAGATTCAATGCAATCCCTATCAAACTACCAACGGTATTTTTCACAGAACTAGAACAAATAATTTCACAATTTGTATGGAAATACAAAAAACCTCGAACAGCCAAAGTAACCTTGAGAAAGAAGAATGGAACTGGAGGAATCAACCTGCCTGACTTCAGACTATACTACAAAGCCACAGTCATCAAGACAGTATGGTACTGGCACAAAGACAGAAATATAGATCAATGGAACAGAATAGAAAGCCCAGAGATAAATCCACGAACCTATGGTCACCTTATCTTCGACAAAGGAGGCAAGGATATACAATGGAAAAAAGACAACCTCTTTAACAAGTGATGCTGGGAAAACTGGTCAACCACCTGTAAAAGAATGAAACTAGAACACTTTCTAACACCATACACAAAAATAAACTCAAAATGGATTAAAGATCTAAATGTAAGACCAGAAACTACAAAACTCCTAGAGGAGAACATAGGCAAAACACTCTCCGACATAAATCACAGCAAGATCCTCTATGACCCACATCCCAGAATTTTAGAAACAAAAGCAAAATAAACAAATGGGACCTAATGAAACTTAAAAGCTTTTGCACAACAAAGGACACTATAAGCAAGGTGAAAAGACAGCCCTCAGATTGGGAGAAAATAATAGCAAATGAAGCAACAGACAAAGGATTAATCTCAAAAATATACAAGCAACTCCTGAAGCTCAACTCCAGAAAAATAAATGACCCAATCAAAAAATGGGCCAAAGAACTAAACAAACATTTCTCCAAGGAAGACATACAGATGGCAAAAAAACACATGAAAAGATGCTCAACATCACTCATTATCAGAGAAATGCAAATCAAAACCACAATGAGGTACCATTACACGCCAGTCAGGATGGCTGTTATCCAAAAGTCTACAAGCAATAAATGCTGGAGAGGGTGTGGAGAAAAGGGAACCCTCTTACACTGTTGGTGGGAATGCAAATTAGTACAGCCACTATGGAAAACAGTGTGGAGATTTCTTAAAAAGCTGGAAATAGAACTGCCATATGACCCAGCAATCCCACTTCTGGGCATACACACCGAGGAAACCAGATCTGAAAGAGACACGTGCACCCCAATGTTCATTGCAGCACTGTTTATCATAGCCAGGACATGGAAGCAACCTAGATGCCCATCAGCAGACGAATGGATGAGGAAGCTGTGGTACATATACACCATGGAATATTACCCAGCCATTAAAAAGAATTCATTTGAATCAGTTCTAATGAGATGGATGAAACTGGAGCCCATTATACAGAGCGAAGTAAGCCAGAAAGATAAAGACCATTACAGTATACTAACACATATATATGGAATTTAGAAAGATGGTAACGATAACCCTATATGCAAAACAGAAAAAGAGACTCCGATGTATAGAACAGACTTGTGGGCTCTGGGAGAAGGCGAGGGTGGGATGTTTCAAGAGAACAGCATTGAAACATGTATATTATCTAGGGTGAAACAGATCACCAGCCCAGGTTGGGTGCATGAGACAAGTGCTCGGGCCTGGTGCACTGGAAAGACCCAGAGGGATCAGGTGGAGAGGGAGGTGGGAGGGGGGACCGGGATGGGGAATACATGTAAATCCAGGGCTAATTCATTTCAATGTATGACAAAAACCACTGCAATGATGTAAAGCAATTAGCCTCCAACTAATAAAAATAAATGGAAAAAAAAAAAACTGAAAGACATAAACTGCCCCCTCTCCTTCCTCTGTTCCATCTGGCTTATGGAATAACTGAAACTAGCCTGGTCTACTGTGATGGCTGCTGGGGAGGAAAGCCTAAACCTCAGTGGAAAATCTCAGTGCTGCCTCAGACTTTAAATGTTGGGTTTCTTGTGAAATTTGACTTTTGTTCCCTCCAGTTTTCTAAACAGAGAACTGAAGAAAGGGGCCCTAAACAGATGCAGCCGTGGAAAATTCAGGGCCCTGAGTCCAGTTCACAGCCTGCATGGGTGCTGCTTAACTCTTGGGGCTGGGGAGGGGTCCAGGCTTACTCAGTAATAAAGGCTCCTGCAGAGAGCTCAGGTCCACCAGAGACATGAGAAGAGGGGCCTGGGGCCCCACTGTTCACAGAGGCTGGCTCAGGTCAGCCGTACCACAGGTTCATTGCCTAGACTCACCTCAGAAGGCTGGGCCTCAACTCCCCTCCATTCTGTTTCCCCTACTCCTTCCTCGTTTCCTTCCAGGATCTCACCCCCTCTATCCTCTTCCAGCCCCTCCTTCGTCCCCCGCCCAACCCCCTCCCTCCCCCCACCCCCGCCCTCTCCCTCCCTCCCCCAGCCCCTCCCCCTCCCCCCGCCCCCCTTCTTCCATCCCTCTAGGCCCCTCCTTTCTCCTTCCTGACCCCCTTTCCCTCTTTCCTCTCATCCTTCTCTCCCCCCAACTTCAATAATACAGGTCAAATGGCTCTTTCTACTCTAAGAAAATCAAAGGTTAATCTCCACCAGAGTCTCTTTCCAGTTACCTGAAGGCCAAAAGATTCCACACACAGTAAATAGCTACCCACTTCACTCCCTGGGTTAGTGAGAAGGGGCCCTTCAGGCCCAGAGGTCGTTGAAGAATCAGAGGTATTTTAAACTGGCTGCCTCTGCACTGCGGCTTTCCTTTCACAGGCTAGCACATCTGCAGGACTGGTGGCTTCCACCTGCCTCCCCTCCCCCACCCAGAGAACAGAACTAGGGCCCTAAAGAAGAGTTTCCCGGGGCAGGAGGGCAAGGAAAGACTCCAGAGCTCTAGAGGTTGTGGTGTTCTCAGGAGAGGCTCTGGCAGAGCTTGAGCAGGTGGCTGAGGCCCTGAGCCACCACCCCCCACCCCATCCTGCCTGCCACAGGCAGAGGCCCACTGCCCAGAGCAGAGGAAGTTCAAGCTCCAGGCCCTCACATGCTCCGGCCCTTCCAAGGCCCTGGGAAGAGCCCCAGCATTGTGTTCCCAGGGTCCTATGTTTTTGTAAAAATTGCAAAAGGAATAGATTTTAACCACTGTTGAGTTGGATCGCTGTTTCTTTCTACTACCATTTCCTCTTGGTCTTACTTCACCCCGGTCAGATGGCTCTGGTGTGGCCCTGGGCATCTGGGGGGTCTGACCAAGGGGAAACTGAATTGGGAGTGCACTTAGCTTATATTCAGTGGGGTTTTGTGGTCTGCCCTTCACTCTGTGAAGGGCAAGTCACTGCTCATCCTTCTGCAGGGACCGCTCACAGGAACAGTGCCACGAGGCTGAATCCAAATTGAACGTGTTCTATGGTACCTGGCTTCACAAGTCTATGGTTAGCGGAGGAAAAACAAGGCTTGAAATGCCCTGAGCCAGAAGCTAGTCTGTGGAAAATTCTTCCAGTTGTGAGATGTGTAAAATTCGAAGTGGAGGATTCCGTTCTCATCAATGCGCCGTTAAAATAGAAATTCAAGAATACTTATATTCAGTGATGCAGCACTTACACTGATAAATGTACTGGGTACTAGTGCTGATGAGAATTGCATGAAGGGAAATTTATCAGAAATCTTGTCTTTTCAGAGTACTATTCTTTAACTGTATTGCACACAGCAAGTGTGTCTGTATAAGGAAACATGCTATAATGACTCCCAATTATTAATAATTTGCATCAGTCTTGCTAGAGGAAAGACTACCTTATCTCCCCATTCTCTCTTATACAAAGTCGTTATATCATGTAAACAGAGTAAGAAAGTATGCAGGCAAAACTCAGGAGGAAAAGTTATTTTAGAGGTGTATCAGACAGTAAATTAATTAGAACATTATACATCTTATAGATTTTGAGATGTCTGTTGCACAGATTTTAAAATTATGAATTGTGTTACAATTTATTTTCTTGTTGTAAAGAGTCACTTTCATACCTCATTTCGTATTTGTATTTTTGCATTAATTTGCTTAAAGAAAGCCCCCTAAATAGTATAAGTCCCACAAACCTGAATCCTCCCTACTGCCAGCCTCCATGAGCATCTGGACGAAATATCAGATTTTTCACTAAATACAATATTGTAAAGCAACTAAAAAAACCTTTTTTTTGTTTCTGTCCTGGGAAGCCTGCTACAGCCCAGGCCCCCACATCCCCGGAGCAGTGTGGTCTGTGAGTCCTGCCAGAGAAGCAGGTGGCCCTCCCTCCAGGAGCCCTGTTTGGGGGCCGGGGAGGTCTTTCCCTGAGGGCTTCGCTCCCAGGTCCTCTTGCTGGGAAAGACAGCAGTGGGGAACAGCTGTCGGTGCTGTTTCACCAGCTGCACAGAGGCTCAGCTGTGTGAGTTCTCCTTTTCCCATAAATCTATTTGATGTTCTCTGGATTCAGGGAGAGGTACCAGGGTTTTCTGCCAAACCGGTCCTCTGATTCATATTCTCTTTGGTTCAGGTGGTCTGACCCAAGAGACTGTCTCGTCTCATCTGCACAAGACTGTTACCAGTTCTCTGTTCTCTTTAACAGGGTTGGTGTGGACCTGGATGAAGACCAGAAGGAGGAACCCTCCTCACACCAGGCAAGTCAGAGAACTGGAGGCATAGAGAACAACCTGAGCTGTTCTGTTTCATAGCCAGGAAGCCCTATTCTAAAGGGGGCTATTTCCTCAGATAAAACAAATCAAGATGACTATAAAATACATGGGAATTCAGGGTGTCTATAATCTGTGTATAACCTCTAGAGTGCTTAGGACCAGCAGACACTTGTGCCCTCTTTGCGGCCTCAGAAAGCCTGGAAACTGCAGTGTAGGAGCAAAAGCACAGCTCTTGGAATCAGGCAGCCTGGAGTTCAAATCCCTGCCCAGCAACTTGCTTGCTGTGGTCATTTCAGTGAAACTGATTTGATGCAGGTTCAACACATGTGGGGCACAAAACAGATGGGCCTGCTTCTCCTGCATGACTTCTCATTTATCAGGTTGAGGTATACAGAAATACAGAAATGTTAAAAATCTGCAAAAGCACAGCCTGAAAATCCTAAGGGAAAACAGTTCAAGACAACATGCTGTCACCTCAAGTAAGAGAAGTATAGTCTCCAAACTTTGGAGTTGAATCTAACATCAGAGTGAAATCTGTCATTAGCAATTTCGCTTTAGTTGTTTTTCACTCAGTACCCAACATTAACAACTATGTAGCCATGTTGCACCTTTTGCTGAAATTGCAGGTAGACAGACATGAAGTCACAGGTAGAATAACATCATAAATAAGTGATGCTGGTTAATGAATCGTGTCCTGATCCTATCTGAATTTGAAGAGAATCCATCTCTTTTATCTCGTGGTTTCTTCCTACCATCACATCAATGAGGCACAGCTGGTTAGTGCTGCCAGGCAAGATGCTGCCGCTTTCCTGGTTCACACAAAGAAGGAAGGATGCTATGCACTACAATAAGGGCTGGAAAATTAAGTTGGCAATGATCTGGCTCATATGCACTTTGAATTTCTTTTGCCACATGTGTTCCAAGGTCAGGCTGGTGCTGTTTTCACTGACTTTACTGCCCAGGTAAGACACCTAACTGCAGGACTGAGCCCAGCAGGGGTGTCAGCACACTGGGATTAGGGCCAGAGTATTGACCTTCGAAAGGTGATCAAAACCGTCTCCTTACACTGGTGAGCTCTAATGAGTCGTCAGGAAGGGCTGTTGGTTAAGATTTTCACAAAGCATTTTATATCATGCAGGTCAACTAATCCCTTCTCCTACTTTTAAGCAAAGCTTTAATCTAAGTTTTGTCCTGCTCCCATATCTTTTTCTTTAAAAGAAAAGTGATAGAATAAGAAAATTCATCAAAATTCTTCATCTTCCTCTAAGTGCCTAATACTTTACAGTTACATGTAATTATTGGTAAGATTATCTGCTAGCTTAAATTATTTCTTTTATAATTTAAATGAATTTTATTTTCACTCATTCACACCATCGTCAATTTAGTAATAATTCTTACCTGAAAATACTTTTAATCAGTTGAAAGTACTTTTTTGTTGTTCTTAGAGAAATGAGATATACCACATAGTACAGTGAAAATTGTACCCCAGTGGCTGAGCGACAAAGAATCCAACTGCCAATGCAGAAGATGTGGGTTCGATCCCTGGGTCAGGAAGATCCCTTGGAGAAGGAAATGGCAATCCACTCCAGTATTCTTGCCTAGAAAATTGCATGGACAGTGGAGCCTGGCAGGCTACATGGGGTTGCAAGAGTCAAACATGACTTGGTGACTAAACAACAGTGAAAACTACATGGTATTTGGATCTTCAGCAAGCTTTTTACATCTTTGAATCCTAATTTTCCTATCTATATAACGCAAATGATAATGATGTCTACTTCTCCAGGTTGTTAAAACAATCAAGTGAAATTATATTTATGAAAACTACCTAACTTAATCTCATTAAAACCATCTTATCTCACAATTTAATGAGGCAGCTTATACCACCACATATGATAAAATAATAGTGAAATACTTTTAAGAATTTTAAAATTCAGTTTAAAAAATTTATAAAACCAGGAAGACAAAAACCAGAGAAGTAAAAAAAAAAAATCATAAATAAAAGATCATAAGGTCCTATATACTTGCTAAAGTTAAGCCACAAGTAAGCTTGTTGGTAGCCAAAGATGGGGGAAGGGAAATAATAATCAGCAATATACTAAGTCATTACACTTAGAGAGAAAAATTACACTCACTCCCCAAGCTGTACAAAGCTTCACAGATCACAATGCTTTAAAAGAATTTTCTCACTTGAGGCTTCCTGTAGAGGACATGTGAGGAGGTGTCTAACTAACCTCCATGTAATTTGCATGGTTTCTACTGCTCTTCTGCTGCTTAAAAATAGTTTTAATTTTAAGAAGTGTCCTGGAAGTGTTCTTATTCATGCTGTTTGACTACTAAGATAACTACATTTCAGATAAAGGTTTTCATCACATTTTGCAATAATTTTTATTTTCAATGTCAAGTACAGGAAACAGTGGGCTCAGGCCGCAAGTAACAAACCACAGTGCCCATGCAGCTGCCATTTAGCCTGGACAAAGGGGATTTTGGGGGACTTTTCAAACCATATATCAAAAACCTCTTTGCCCTCATTTTGCCTGACAGCTCTTTGCTTATTATCAGCATCTGTTGCTCTGACTATAGAGCATAAATTTAATTCTTAGAAGGATTGTATTTTTCCACTCAGTTTGCATTTTATTAAATTGGCTTTGCGTTAACAAACAGATATTTTGCACTGGTCAATTTCCGAAAAAAATACTTTACCCTTAGTTGTTGTTCAGTTGTTTGGTCATATCCAGTTCTTTTGCAACCCCATGGACTATAGCTTGCCAGGCTCCTCTGTCCATGGGATTTCCCAGGGCAGAATATGGGAGTGGGGTGCTATTTCCTTCTCCAAGGGATCTTCCCAATCCAGGGAACAAACCCGCATCTCCTGCACTGGCAGGTGGATTCTTTACCACTGAGCCACCAGGGAAGCTCACCTTATTCTTAAGTTACCAAGAGCTTAAATTTTCAGATAATTATGGCAATTACTGATCATAATTTTGATCACTTTCAAAATCAATAATAAGCTTATGTAATGACATGTACATATCCTTGAAGGAATTTCCTCTTTCTCTGTTTCTGGAGTGTAAAATAGCCTTTGGAAAGTATGAACTTGCAGTTGTGACTACCCAGCCGTGTCACGATTTTCCTTTTTGCCTTGTAACACCTTGAAAGTGTGAATGGTATTACGTTCTTACCCATTCCAAACCCAGAAGCTTTAAAAAGCATGTTCCACAAGCAGATATTAAACTTTAAATATATACTGTATGCAAATGTGCCACTTCAAGAAATGAAAGGTATTGCAGCTGTGAAATTTCTCTTAAATGTAAAAATATAAAAATAAAAACATCCTCAGACAAACTTCCCCCCTCGACAGGAAGTTTTCCTTGTACTTGATGCTGTGTCCTTGGCAGCACAGCATTACAGAAAAGGTAAGACTCATTGGAGCACCGTACCTGCCTTCTTAGTTCAATAGAAAATTCCTGCTACCCAAGAAGGGCCCACTCTTGCTTCTCTTTTTCCTGCTTGCTATCTTTCATGATCATCCTATTATTTGTAGAGTGCTAACTATTGCTGTTAACATTTCTGAATGTTAATACTTCAGCTGTGTTAACTCATTTACCCGGATAAACCTATGGGTAGGTGCTATTATTATGTTTATATTTTAAATAATGAAACTGTATACAGAGAATTTAAATAACTTGCTGAAGGACATGTAGTGAGAAGAGGTGAAATTTGAACCCAGATAATCTGGTTCTAGAACTTCCACTCTTAATGGATGTGTATGCGTCTGTTCATTCATTTATTCATTCATTCGTATAAGCCACCCATGTCAGGCAGGAATCTAAGTGTGAGGAGGATGCATCAGTTACCAATTCAAAGTCTTCACCCTCACAGAGCTTATACTCTAGTGGTGGACACAGAGAAGAAAGTGGTAAACCTCTATGCACTGTCAGTTCAGAGAATAATAACAACAGAGCAGGGAAGAGGATGGAGAACAACAGAGAGGCTATGGCTGGCTTCCTTTCTGAGGAAGTGGCCTTTAGGTAGACATCTGAACAATGTGTAGAAGTGAGATGTGCGCAGAGGCTCTGGGGTAAACGGGCCAGGCAGAGGGATCGTCAAGGATGATGTCACAGTGGGTTATGGTGTGCTCCATACACAGCAGGCAAACCAGTGTAGCTGGAGCTGAGGGAGTAAGGTGGAAGCAAATGGAGCTGGAGTGGGAGAGACCAAGAGGAGGCAGATCATTGGCCATGGTGGTGGATTAATTTCATTCCATGTATGATGGAAGCAAAAATGTGCAAGTTTGGGACTTAAAGCAACTTTTTTAAAAACTCATTTTTCTTCTATTTCCAACTCTGCCATCTGTTGTTGTTGTTGTTATTTAGTTGCTAAATTATGTCTGACTCTTTCGAGACCCCATGGACTGTAGCCCTCCAGGCCCCTCTGTCCATGGGATTCTCCAGGCAAGAATACTGGAGTGAGTAGCCATTCCCTTCTTCAGGGGATCTTCCCTTCCCGGGGATTGATCCCACAACTCCTGCTTTGGCGAGTGGATACTTTACCACTGAGGAAGCCCTGTCAACTGATTAACAATTAACTGTCAACAAGTAACAAGGAGGTTGAATTTCATCTTTTCAAATATAACTTTATTTTTAACACTCTGATTGTATCTCTATGTGCTCTCTTAAGGCTAACTTCCAATTTTATGTTTGCTTCTGAAAATCCCTTCATTGAAATTCTGATTTTTGGTTGTCATTTATGCTTGTGGGTAACCTGAGTAGATCAGTTCTGGTCACTGTAGCTTAAGGAAGTCAAAGCAGAGCTGAGAAAGGTCCAGAGAAGGGCACCTTCAATGAGCAGAGGGAGTTTAAAAGAATCAGGATTTCTCCAGCAGAAGGACTAGCACCAAGAAGGGCTACAATGAAATGTCTTTAAAAATATGGAGCATGTGAATCAGGTGAATGAAGAGTTGTGTGCCAAACCCCAGAAAACCATAA